GTGACGTAAACCTAGCCGCCTCCTCCCACTCCCAATCCCAATCCCACTCCCAATCCCTCTCCTCCATCCACCAAGTTTAGTATACCCCTATTATTGAAGCCACATTTTGCTAATTTTAATTAGATAACAGAAATTTACTTCAACCCAGATTAAGGTATAAAATTCAAGTTATTAATCTCTTAATCAAAAAGACCTATCAGACCCAAATAAGTCACTATAAATACAATAATGATGGGACAAAAGGTATTTATGTTTATTTAATATTACAATATTATTGTTTTGTATCAAGTACTGACTTGAGAGTCGCAATGCTTTTGCAGGTACCTTCTCCCCCTTTTTGGGAAAAGGATTTGGAAAATTATTACCTCAACTTGGAAGAAGATCAAGTATTAGAAAGCATCAATGTAAGAGTATTTTCTAACAAGAATAATTTGTTTTCTACAAGTTGATGCGTTGCTTTGAGCTTTTGGACACATATTGTTGTGTCATAACAGATAAATGTAGTTGTATAACTATTTTTATTGAACTATCTAAAAGATTAAGATATACATAGGACTCGAAGAGATGAGATGCTTGCATATAGTCAAGTAGTTTTGACTTATCTTTGTGTTCACACCACATCATATTATTCTACCTATATGGCTACAAGTAAAGTTTTGTACAAAATGAAGTTTAAACCTTAAGTCTTACCTTATAAATAGAAACGGAGTTGTAGTAATTATTCGTGAAGCATATTGAATTGTTGATACAGTCAAGAGATTTAATTTGGGAGGTGCAAATGCATGGGAAGAAAAATAATCTATGGTTGTTAGCAAGGAAATAGCAAATAATAATATCATGTTCATGGTTTTAATTAAATTGCATTTGTAGTTATGATTGCTATGTCATGAAAAATCTCAACATTGTAAAATTGTAATAAAATGTAATTAGGATTGTTATTGAATATGGTTGCAGATACCTTAAATCCTGATATTGCATCCGTATAATTGCAATTTTAGACTGTAATAATTTGCACCTCCCAAATTAAAGAACCTTAATATTAATTCCTTAAAACCTTGATAATATCATAGGTCGAAATTAAGAATACAGAATTTGTTCGGATAAATTTTTATAGAAATATTTTTAGGACAACAAAATAAGAAAAACAATGAAATAACTTCTCTATAAATTAAAATTAATCTATACGTAAATTAATTTATAAAAATTCTCACTATTAATTTTTTCAAAATCTTATTTTTAACTTAAAAATAAGTTAGTTTAATTTATAAGAATCTTATTTCATTTTTATTTCTTATTTTTCTTTAATATAATATTGTTCAATTTAAGTATAAACTCTTATAAATTTGTTTTTGTCATTACCGATAAGAAATTTTAATTGTAATTCAATAAGTATTTATAGAAAATTTTACTCAAACAACCCGCATAACGTGTTCTCTTTTCTTTCCATATCATAAAATATTACACCCACAGCCACTTAACCTTAAAACTAATTTGGCTCCCACACCACAATTCATTGGAATCTCAAAAACACAAAGCAATGCAGGACAATAATATTATAACTATGCCTTTAAACTGGTCAACTAACAATGCTAATGAACTTTTCGTAATAGTTCATGGTTTAAACTTTATTTTGTGTAAAACTATCATATAGCCATATAGAGGGAAATGATCGATATGATGTGAAGATGCATAAAGATGATTCAAAAACACAACTTGACTGTATACAAGCATATTCTCATCTCTTCTGGTCCCAAACTCATTTTGCCCCACAATGATATTTTTATTTAAAATGTATTCAAGAAAGGAATTTTCTTTTCTTGAAGCCAAATTGTTGACAATGACAACAGTTAGCAACAAATAAGACAATAGGCAAAGGCAGGCATGTAGTTGTTCCTTTAAAGTGTACTAACAAACAAAAGCAGTGTTCATGTTAGGAATGTTGCAATCACGCCAACTTTAATTGGCCCATCAAAACAAAGTTCACAGTCTCTCCTTTTCCCTCTCTAAGAAAAGCAAGTTGATGATGTTGGGATTCATCCCAAGTCCCACATCGGTAAAATGAAGGAACATTGGCTAGTTTATAAGTGTCCACCATTCCACATAGTATGAGGCCTTTTGGGAAGGAGCCCAAAAACAAAACCGTGCGGGCTTAGGCCCAAAGCGGACAATATCATACTATGGTGGAGTAACAGGTGGACTAGCGGGCCCAACAAGTGGTATCAGAGCCAACGGTTCGTCTGGGTTTGATGCGGGAAGACCCTCAGTGTTGTGCCTCGCGATGGAGATTCGAACTTGGTGCCTTGTGTCGAAAGTCTTCCTGATATTGTGGTGTTCAGGCGGCGTGTCCCGTAGAGTTAACGGCGGTACAAGATGGTGACGGATTATCGCTTGAGGGGAGGAGATCACGAGACATGTGGTCCTTGGTCTGAGGGGAGGTTTGTTGGGATTCATCCCAAGTCCCACATCGGTAAAATGAAGGAACATTGGCTAGTTTATAAGTGTCCACCATTCCACATAGTATGAGGCCTTTTGGGAAGGAGCCCAAAAACAAAACCGTGCGGGCTTAGGCCCAAAGCGGACAATATCATACTATGGTGGAGTAACAGGTGGACTAGCGGGCCCAACAGATGAGGTCAGGTGGGTGTTGCAAAGCCAAAGATCAAAGTATACTTACTTGGAAGTCACTTTACTTTTAATATGGTACGTGTAACTCATGTGTGATGAAAATTAGTGCCTACAAAGTTACTTTGTTTTAGATGGCTCATTCCTGTTTAGACTATCCAGTTGCAACTTGTAGTACAAATCTACTCTTTGTTTTGGTTAGAATAGACTATGTTAAAAGTTACTTAAATAATCTTTTTTCTCCAAAATAGTAACTTAAATGAGAGATTATAATCTCTCTCAAACATACTCTAATCCAAAAAAACAAATGTCCATATATGTTATGTGTAAATTTGTAAAGGCAAACATGAAGTCAGATGCATTATGTAATAATTTAGAACAGAAAAAGCAAAAAGCAAAAGGTATATATAAAAGTGACTGACGAGATTGTGTATTATTTAGCAGCTGCACTTGCATACCCTACATTTGTGTCCTTAATTAATTCATTAAAAAAAATTTGTAATGGTTATTACGTTATTATCAGTGAGAAAGGAGAAAAATATTGCTTCAGGTTAATGTGTCTTGAAAGACATATCCACACGCGTACATACACCGGGAACAGCATCATATCATTCCCTAATTCATATAGAATCAATTGTTACACCGTAGGTTTACTCAACAATGCTCAAAATATGGTATTATCTACATGTTTGAAAACAAACTTCAAAGAATTTTTTTTATATAGAATTTCTATACTATTTATTTTTGGTAGAAATTTTTTTAATTTGTTTAAAAATTGTATCCAAACATGTTCTATATATATAGTGTGCAGAAAATCTTCTTTTTGACAACAATGCTTATATTTTGAATAGCGTAACTATTTCTGTTTCAACATTCAAGTTTTAAAATTAAAATTACTATTTTGCTCATAAAAGTGTATAAGTTAATTAAAAAAGTAAAGAAGTAAGTGAGTAAAAATAGTTAAGAAATAGAGTAATAATTCAATTATTTGATTTAAAAGAAATATAAAACAGAGAAATAAAAATAAAAAATAATAATTCTTTTTAATAATTTTTTTAATCAGTTGATTTTCTTAATCGTTATGCAATTTTAAAAAATAATTTTTGGGGTTTTAAAACCGCCGGTACCCTTTAAAAAAATATTTTAAAATGATTGTGGTGGTAAAAAATAAACACAAATATATGATAATAAATAGATAAATAAATAAAGATTTGGCAGTTTAAAACCCACACAAATTGTGAACTCATCCTTCTGCAGACCACTTTTTTATACATCACTCTGCATTTTTCATCTACTAAACCAATGAACTCATTTTCACTCTCCCTCCTACTTTTTACTTATTTTCTATCTATCCTTAATTTACTAGTGCAAAATATAAAATTTACGCCAGCGTTTTCTCATCGGACATAAAATTATCCAACGTAAAAAAAACGCGGTAATAATTTTGAAAATAAATCAAACTTTTTTACGTCGGACTACACTAGATCCTACATAAAATTTGAAATCTACGTCGAACAGTAGCCACATCCGATTTAGATTGTAAATTTTACGTTGGCCCTAGTGTAGTCCGACGTAACAAAGCTTTTTATTTCCCCTGAGTGCCTTCGTCTTCTTCACGCGCGCAAGGTTATTACACACTAAGGAAGCTTTTTTTGGTGGTGCGATTTCCGACGAAGGGCTCCTCAAGTACGTGTGGGCGTTTTCAGTCACAGCGATTTCTAGCAAAGGGCTTCTCGACATCCGTGGATGATTCCAGATCTTTCTGACCGATTGGATTGGGCGCTTTCTGGGTTTTGGATGATTTGAGGTTATTGTCTTCCTTCCATTGTGTATGAATCGTGTTAGCCCAAGAGTCTATTTTAATGTTTGCTTGCATGAACTTGTTCAATAAGGGTTTTCTTCCATTGCATTTCTCGTTGGTGTTAGAACTTATTTTAAACCACTAGTGCAAAAAAGGGTATTTACGTCACCCAATTTACGTCGCAAACACTAAACACCGACGTTGTAAGTGTCAGCACGTTGGTCGTTTGAGGTTAGTTTGTTGTCCCCGTAATTTTTTTGTTCTTTTTTTGCTATTTGTTCCGCTGGAACGGCCCGTTCTGCAAGGAGAACGGGCCGTTCTGCAAGCAGTACGGGGCGTTTTGCAAAGAGAACGGCCCGTTCTGCTGGAATTTTTGTTGTTGTAATTTGTTGATATGGAACGGCCCGTTCTAGTTTCAGTACGGGCCGTTCCTAACTATTGGCCACATGGAAGCTACGTAGATGCCACGTGGAAGCTACGTAGATGTCACGTGGATGTCAAACTTTGTCATGCATTTGGAACCAGAATGACCCGTTCTGAAACTGGAACGGCCCGTTCCAGTTGCACTCATTTCAGGGCTATAAGAAGAGGGAGATTCAGAAGCAGATGCAGTTGCAGTTGCAGTTGCAGATGCGGTCCTCCTCCGATGCGCCTTTGAACAAAGGGGTTTCTTTCGATTCTTCTCGCAATTTGTTGGCTGTGGCGGACAAAGACGACGATATTATTTTCTGAATTCTTGGTGAGTGAGACTTGTTTACTTTTGTTTAGGTCACAGTTTACTGTATCATTAATAAAGGTGATTAGTATATGTTTATTTGTTTATTGAGAATGTCAAATTTTTTTATGGATTCTTTGAAGTTGTTGTGAAGTATCAAGTATATTGCATCTGAATAGAACGTGTAGTTATTGTTGTTTTAGCTTAGCAGTTGCATTTCACTTATATTATGTGATGTTTTTACTTTTGGCTTGGGATGAACGATAGGTTTAAAGATATGGTCTTTAGGATAAGCAAAAACCTATTGATGCTGTGATTGAAGAAAACAGAAAACAACTAATAGATGGTCTAAAGGATGGGAAATGAGGTTTGTTAACAACGTACTACCCGTATATAACTCATTTCTGTTGATCAATCACTTCATTGTTCACATACAAATTATTTATCACTCTACCCTATATAAGTTTAACAGTTATCACATGCACACAGAGATGCATCCAAGTATTTTATTCTTTTCTTTCCAAATTCTATTTTAATCAGAGAACCCATCACAGGAATATCAATGTTGCTCTTTAATCAGCCACACAAAGCAATGATAAAAAAATATCAACTGCTAGTTTGATATTATCCACAATATAATTGATAACTTCTTTCAAAGTAACCTTTCTTTTTTCCTTCAAGTTCCGTAGCTCCACCACTGGATACCCACCGCTTGCATTGTATTCGTTTATTTCCTTCAAGGCTTCAACAACAACTGAATGTATCTCATCTCCCCATTCCTGCTTGAGGCTTTGTAACTTGTCATCTTCCTCTTCTATAATATTCTGTATAATGCAACATCATTATGTGTTTCAGTATTATGCTACTCTGCTACAATTATTAGTGATATAAGCCAAATCAGGAGGTGAAAGAGCATAACACAGGATCTTTTACGTATGCCAAGCCAAGTTCGTAACTTAACTACAAATTATATAATTAATTAATTACTAATTAAAACCATTTTCTTGGGACAAGAAAGCATATAGAACAAATTTCTTCAATGTGTGAACAGAGCATTTCAAGTAACCACGTCAACTAATCATTAAAAGACGGAACTCCGTTATGAACACAGGAAGCATGTCATGGTGGCACAAACCTCTACTTTATATCATCTGTGATCACTTTAAATGGATGCCAAGCTGAATTCTTCACGTTCTCCTGCCACAAAGAGCAAAGCTCAACACCCTTGGTCTCAGCTTCTCCAGAAGGAAATCTTTTCTAGCAGATATTCACAAAATTCTTATTTCCAACAGAAAGGTAGAGTGGATATTCTTGTAAACATGTTCACAGCTTAGCTTGACTAGATGCAGGAACAGAAGCGGTTGTTTGTTTTGTTAGAGTGGTTAACTTCAAGAATCAATGAAGAGAAAGGTAATTAAAGATTTAGGGGAGGGAATAGTCCCCAATCCAACGCAGGGGAAAGCCTCCAGGCTCAAAAATAACACGGAAGAACTTACATCTACCTCTCCCTGACCTGCTAGATGCAAGACTGTCTTGCTTCAACCAACCACTTGGGGTCATATATAGAGGATTTCCTAACATGAACCCATTTATTTTTTTATACCAAGATATAGCTTGGATTTTCTTAAAATACACCCAAGGTGTAAGCTGCTACATTACTCCTTCTGAAACTAAGTGTGTATGTTAGAAAATGGATACTTCCTTATTTTCTATTGAGTATTTAGCAAGATATAACTAGGATTTTCTTAAATTGTGCCGTAGCTTGCTAAAATACTCAAAAAACAAGTGGGTGTAAATTGACAAATCTCTATACAGTATACAAGATCATACTTTTATTGATTCTTTACGAGCTTCCTGTAGTTCATCATTACTCTGGCGCTCCTTCACAATGAGGGTATGATTCATGGCCTCCATATTTTCCAAATTATCTACTTTTTCTTGCAGTTCATCATTCATTTCTTTAATCTTATTCTGCACAGCTGCATCATCTTCATCTCCAAGATGCTTCATAACTTGCAGTTTCCCTCTTAACTCTTCAATTTCCATTTCCAACATCTGTTTGGTGTCTAACTGTTTTTTCAACTGAATTATCTTGTCATAGGCCTCCTGTTTCTCTCTTTGGAAATTTTGAAATTCACATCAATTGGAGGCATTCATGATTTATAAGAATTAAGTAATAATTAACATAAGCTTTTCATCATCAAGATGCTAAAAATACTAAATAAAAGCAAACTTTTTATTCCACAACAAGCTTTAAGGCATTTTGATCAGCTATCTCCTTGTCCTTTGAAGCCAACAGGAGTGATTCATTCTTCAAATCTTTCTAGAAAGACGGAGATTATATAAAAATCCTGTGAAGCACATCATAAGCGCTTATGTTTTCAAACTCTAGGCACCTTAACACAATGATGGATGGAACCTATAGTAACCCAGAAAGATCAACGTAATAAATAGGCTAAAAACCTAATTTGGTCCCTTATAATAATTGTTTGTTTCAATTTAGTCTCACTTTTATTTTTTGTCTTAATTTGGTCCCTAATAAATTAAATTGTTACAATGTCGGATTTCCGTCTAAATTATTTAGACGGAATTAACTGTTGGCCACGTGGATGTCACGTGCGTCGGACCCTTTTCCGACGTAAAAGGGTCAAAATACACGATGTAAAAGACCCTTTGTGTACTAGTGAACCCTTCTTGGAATACAAGGGTTTCCTGATGCATGTTGAAATATGCTAAAGCCTTCTTGGTTAAGTTTGCTTGATGTAATAAAATCACAAAATTCTAAAACGAGAGCAGGGACATTCGCACGAGCGCAATGTAGTGGCACACTCGTGCTAGCGCAACATTTCTAGTCTTCCCAATGCGTTGATCTGAACGGGGTAAAAGTCCTATTATATTGTTTTTTATGTTAATTGAAGTTTCAATTAACTATTTTAGTGTTGTGTATTGATATGATATTAATTTGCAGCTATTACATCATGCATGTATTGGATGAGAGCCATAGCTTTTACAATATTACTGATTCTTGGGTAGAGGTAATTCATATCAAAATTTATTTAAATATATTTACCTTAATGATAATTAACATTGCATATTCACGACAGTTAAATTAATGTTTCAGGTCTTTCAAGATTCATCTCCATTGCCCGAAAATGAAATCACAAAGATAAGAGAGCAATGAGCAACTTTTTTACTTCGAAGTATATGATAGTTAGATTTCTAAGTTTAGTTAGTTGGATATTATGTTTCTAGTTTGATAGCATTAACAAACTTAGGTTCTGTAGTTTTTTTAGGATAATAGGATTTACATTGTCTTAATTTATGCTTTTTAAGATTTATATATTATTTTCTTTTTATTATTTATATATTATTCTGGACTGCCTAAGTTAGGTGTACTACTTGATTTTGTATTCTAGACTGTATGCAGTTTTTGGATGTATCAAAAAGTAAAGCAAATTTAAAAAAAATGCACAAATTTACGTCGGACTATACCATGTTCGATGTAAATTTATGTCGGACTATGTCATGTACGACGTAAATTTACGTCGATTAGTAACACATTCGACGTAAATTTACATCAGACATGGCATAGTCCGATGTAAATGTTTTACTGTTATTTTGTTAGTTTACAACTTTTTTTACGTCAATCATGGAGAATCTCCGACGTAATATTATGTCGGTTGTGTAAATCCAACGTAAATTCACGTCTTTCGCATTGACGTTGGACTTTTTTCTAACGTAAAAATCTCAAAATAATAAACGTAAAATACCTTTTTTACACTAGTAATTTTTGTGGTTCAGTTTGTAAAGCTCTAAAATATAGGGAAAAAAATATTTTTTAAAGTATTTTAAACACCTAATTTTCTTTTATGTATATTGATATGTCTTACACTTTGTCAATAAACTGACCTATTGATTCAAGAAACAAAAACCATGGACACCCCATGTTATGCTATTAGACAGAAGAAAAAGAGAGAGAAAAAGGAATATAGTTACTATTGGACTGTCACATTTCTTTGAGGTATATAATTAAGTGATCATATACCAAAAGTTGTTAGTAAAAGTAATTTAATATTTGTATTTCTTAATCAAAGAATAAGATTTAATTTCTTATTTGAATATGAGGTCTTGATTAAGTATGTGTTTGATTTTCCGTTGAAAACTCACAAAACCACCTTCAACAGAAAAGACAGAAAATGTTACTTCTTAATTAGTTAGATATTTTAAAATGTGTGTTTTTTCCATTCAACGAAATTCAATGATAAAATAAACATACCTTAAAAGTACTATTATATCATGATAGAAGTTGATTGTGAAAAATAGTTATACTTTCTTATATGACAAAAAAAAAAAAAAAAAAAAGAGGAGAAACCATATATCATTATTCAATGATTTATTGGGTTGCAAGTAGGTAAAAATAGGGGTGTTGTTGTTTGTGAATCAAACGCATCAATTGTTTCGTATGTTGTTTCGTGTAGTCTTACAGGTTCGTCTTCATTAGTCAATTTGATGAGTTTAGACTTTATACTTTATCTTCATTATTTTGATGAGTTGGGTTTTTGTGATGTCTTTAGAATAAAAATGGCAACTATTTATTCTTTTACTACTAAAAATGTCTATTAGTTTAAAACTGGTGATCTTCGTTAACATTTGAAAAGCGAAATCAGAGTTCGAGGGTTTGTTCAATTTTAGCATCTTGTTTGCAAATATTTTGAATTTGGGACCATCTTTTTCCTCTTTTGCTTTTCTCTCTCAGATTTATCTTTCTTTTCATCATTGTAAGCTATGCTCGCCTTGGATCTACATTTTACTCACTTTTTCATAATTTCATCCCAAAATATTCACGCCCATGCAATGAAATCGGTTTTTAAGGATGCCACAACCGAAATCACCATGAGAATGATACAAAAATATTTTTATGAAAGTCGTTATTAATATTTTATTAAGAAAAAACTATGAAAAAAAAATCCTTTAAAGAAAAATTTGTCTTTGAAAAAAGGTTAGATTTGAAAATCAATTATGTATAAAGAAGATATTAATACCTACAACGCATGTTAAAAATAACATATTTAATTAATTACATAAAATTATATAACTTTACAAATATTTATTTTATTGTTAAGAAAGAAATATTTTTTATCCTTTATTTTTTTAAAACTTTTATATGTGAAAATAGGATTTTTTGGTATTTTTATTAATATAAAGAAACAAAAATTACACAAAGATTTAATTTATTAAATGGCTAATCAATAAAACCTTACAATAAAATTAAAAATAAACTTATTATTCAATGAATGTTATTGATTGCTGTATATTTTTTTTAATACTTATTAAAAAGAATAACTTCTATTTTTATGCATTTTATTTAAAAAGAAATCATTTTTATACAAGAATTTAAATTAACAAATGATTCGTCATTAAATCTTCACAATCACATAACTTTAAAGATAAGAATTATTATTCAATTGATGTTATCAATTGTTATATATTTGAATAATTTTGTTTCTGTATTTTAAAACACAAATAAAAAATCTATTTTAAAAACAAATTTCATAATAATAAACGTTTATTCATTGAACCAAATAGTATCAATTACTCAATTAACATTATACATTATTTTTCTAAAAAAATGTATTATCAAGAAACAATTTAATTATGAAAAATTACGCAAATATATAAATATATACAAACATAAAAATTGGTAAAGTTCTTTGAATTTTTATTATTTTTGTTTTACATTTACAAAAGTAAGTCACGTGTTACTCACAAAACTGGAATTAACATGTATTAATTGAGAACCACACATAAGTTATCATTTTTATTTTTAACTTGCAAAATTTTTATAAAAAAAAATTGAAGATAGAAAGAGCAAGGAAAAATAAACGAAAATTTACCTGAAGTGAAGCAACTTTCTTTTACTTTCCATTAGAATAAATCTTTTATAAAGGACAATGCAATGTCCATGTTCAAGGTTCAGTATGCAGTGTAAAACAAAATAATAATCAAACTAACCAAAGAACATGTGAGTTTAAGGATGTAAAAGCACAAAACCAAAACTTGTGTGACCTTGTGTGGCATTGCAAATGTATGTTGCAATGGTTTTTCTAAAAGTCAGTCACAAAATCTCCTTTTTCTTTTTTGCATCTGTATCCTCTTTTATAACTCTCTAAAATTCTTTTTTTATAGCTAAAAATATGCTTTAATTACCTATCACGATCCTCTTATTTTTTATTTTTATTTTGCAGTTGTAATTGAATAGTCATTTCATTCTCGCTTTATAACTACTTTTATTTAATATTGATCGAATCATCTCATATTCTTTCAAATATTAATCAAGTCTTACACTTCAATTTTTCTTTTTTATTTTCAATAAAATAGAATAAAATTTGTTATTCACAAAGACAAGGGAATAATGTCCATATTGTTGTAATTGTGTAATTATTGATCCCTAGCCTATTGTACAGAATTTATGAACTGTATGGGACCGTATTTAATTGAGGAATTTCATTAATGTTCATCATTAAAGTGCATGGGAAGAACACGGGACTAGTTGAAGTGATGAATCCCATAAAAATGCTAGTTTGCAATAAAATGAGTTTGTCAAGTTGGCACACCCTCAAAAACATATTTTATAAAAAAAAATTATTTATTAATTATCTATTTATGATTTATGATTTGTTTGTAAAGGAAAAATGGTTGAGAAATAAGGTGGAAATAGGAGAGTGATAACAAGATTAGAAAAAAAAAAGATTATAATTTTTATTATATTTGGTTAGGGAGAAAAATAGAAAGAAAATAAAGAGAAAAATTATTTTTTTAGAGATAAAATTAATTTTTTCCTTTCTTTTTATTATCTTTCAACTCAAATAATTTTAATTTTTGTTTACTCCTGTAATGCAGTTAGTAGGCTAGAGCAGGGCGTTCTAAACTACAAAAACAAGGGTGATTTAGTAGCTCAGAACGGGTTGCTCCCAAACTGGAATGGGTCGTTCCAGACTACTAAATAGGCTTGTAAATCCTAGTTGAGAACGGGCCGTTCCAACGCTAGAACGGGCTGTTCTGGTTTAAGAATAGGTTGTTCTGCATGTGAATTTTACGCATGACGAAGGAGCCCAAAACGGGCCGTTCTGGATTCAAAATGGGTCGTTCTAGCCACTCCTGACCTCTATAAATAGGCGTTGAGGAGGGAGAGAAAGGGAAAGAAAGAGAGAGAGGAAGGGAGAGAAGTTTAGAGAGAAGGACTCTGGTCCGTTAAGAAGCTTACTTTTGGAGGATTGAAGTCCGGGAGTCGAACTTTGGAGGAAACTTCTTCGTCTTCTCATTTCTTGGCTATTTCTGAGCCAATATTCAGGTTAGGGAAGCTTTATACATTGTGTTTTTGTTGAAATGGTTGAGTTGTTGGGTGCTTAAGTTGATTTATGTTGTTTACATTGTGTAAGTTGGCATGATAGATGAACTTTAAATATGTTGGTTTATTTGTAATTTGTGTCGAATATGTTGTATATTGTTGAAGTTGTTTATAAGGTTGTAAAGTTTTTAAGTTGCCTGATGAAGATGAGCTGAGTAGTTGTTGACTTAAGTTGTTTATATGTTGTGTGCTAATAATATGTGATATGTTGTTAAAGTTGCTATATGTTGTGTATTTGGTGAAACTAAGTTGTTTTTATGTTGTTTATTGTTGAATTATTAATAAGTTGAGATGTATAAGTTGAAGTAGTTCATTGTTGTAAAGTTGAGATTGATAACTATAGTTGCTTACTGTTGTAAAGATGGTTATTGTTGTAAAGTTGTTATGACGCCTATAGTTGTAAAGTGATAAATTTGTCAAAGTTGTATAGTTGTATAGTTGAATAGAAAGTTGTCAAGTTGGTATGTGATGTCTATTGTTGAAAGCTGCTTTTAAGTTGTAAGTTGCCTTAAAGTTGTTCAATTGCTCTAAAGCTATTGAAGTTGATATTTTGATGACTAAAGTTGCCTATTGTTGTAAAGTTGAAAAGTTGGGGACATATGGTGAAGATATATGTCATATGTTGAGATACACGGTACTAAGATGATAAGTTGAAAGTTGTTTTAAAGTTGAATCCCTTAGTCCTGTGTGGGCGACATGGAAGTAGTCGATCCATGTCATGGTTGAATGACCAATTTGAGTAAGGTATCTAGTTAGAGATGTAGTCTTTGACTAAGTACTGGAGGGTGCGTGGTACTTGGAGGGAAGTGGGTGGGCTAACTCCATCTGTGGATTGGTTATGCAAGCCAAGGCTGTGGTAGGCCCATACCCAAACCCTTCTGCCTTGATAGTAGTATTGGACCTTTGAGTCTAAGTGACACACCTGAGCAATTGCCTATTTTTGTCTATACCTGGTTCTCTTCGGAGTTCTTAACGATGCCCTATACCTGACCTGGTTGAGATAGGTCAAACGTTGGATTCGGTAGGGTTTATGCTACCAAGACTGCTCAATCTCAGTTGTTGGAGATATCCTAGTTGTATATATGTGCCGACGCATTAGTTAGTTTTGCATGGGTTGTTGCATTCAAGTTGTATATAATGTTGTATGAATGAGTTGATAGTTGAGCTATTGTTACAAATACTATGTGATTGTGTTGTGATGAGCCGTTGATCACTAGGACTAGAGGAGACGTTTTCAAAGTTGTTCATCCCATTGTGCGGGTTGGGGTAGTTGGGGGGCTCTGGGAGGCCAATTTGTTTTAAAATCCTCCTTGGAAAGGTGTCCCTTGGAGTGGATGATTTGTTGTTCTCCTCTAGGACTTGGTTGGTCCCATGTGTTGGCAAGGTCGAGGCACACGTGTATGAAGCAACCACAGTATAGGGGTCAGGCCGAGCTATACCGATTACAAGCGGCCAATTTGAGTAAAGTGCGATGTGTTGAAAGTGTTGTTGATGTTGTATATCTATTGTTGTAGGTGTTGTGTTGCTTTAAGTTGCAAGTTGAAAGTAGAATTCTATTGTTGTTTTTTATATGTTGATGCTATTTTTTTTATGATTATTGTTGTAAGCTTACCCTAGCATGTTTTTTCTTATGGTTGGGACTGCGATGACCATACCTTGGTATGCGAGCAGATCAGGATTAGGTGCTCTGCTGAACTACGTAAGCTTTTTTTTTGTTGGGACTCAAGAGGAGGGTTGAGTTGTATTTAGTTGATTGGTAGTATTTGACTACCTAGTTGTTGTATAGGATATTATTCCCTACTTTCAGTTATATATATTATGGGACATTTTAGTTGTGTATTCTCATTATATATATAATTGTTTAGTAGTGAGATTTTATTTTATACTTGTATCTGGACGCTATAGACAGTTTGAGACCTAGCGGGTCATTACAACTCCCCTACTTTCTTTTTCCTTCTATCTAAACAAGTCATTAATTCAAGGTAGAACAAGAAAAAAAAAAGGAAGAAAATTGGAACAAACAAATCAAAATCTAAATATTTCTTGAGATATCTCTCGGGAACGGAGAGGAATGGAGACAAGGACCGTAAGAATGTTAAGAAGAAAAAAAAATCCATGTACTTATATTATTTATGGATAAAGTCTCTTAGGATAGAAAATGCACATTTAAATGGGCGTATGCAATTAATAGGTATGAGTATTTTTCATATTTACGTGTTAATAGGATAAATATAGGTATTATAGTATCGTATTTATTAATATTCAATTACATAAATACTCATATATATATATATATATATATATATATATATATAAAGATGTATGCACATATATATATATATATATATATATATATATATATTTTAGTAAGTACCTTAACAATTATCTTTTAATAATGAGGTATTGTACTTCATTATCTTGTATTTGAATTTATGTGTAATCAAATTATTTTATTTTAATAATTATTGTTTGAACTTTAAATTTATTGAACGTTTAAAATTTAATATCTAAAATTCACTTATTTTTATTAGTATAATTGTGAAAAATATTTGAATTTTAATTTTATATTTTTTAAAAAAATTTATTTAGATTTTATTTAATTTTTAGTTTTATAATTTTCAAACTATTTTATATGCATATTTTTATAACCTTAAAAAATTATTACGACTAATTAAAATGTATGGTTAAAATGTTTTGTAAAATATTTTTAAACTATTTTTTTAGTAAATAATTACAGATATCCGTGGATATTCATGAATATTAAAAAAAATCATAGATACATATTTAATGAGTACTGCATGAATATAAGAATGAGTACGAAACAAATATTTTTCTAATGAAAAAAGTAATAAAAACTTATTGTCCATATCTTCCTCGTTGCGCTCTACTGATATCTTTAGTTATGTGATATATATATATATATATATATATATAAGGCAAGGTTCAACAGGTATACGAGCTGACCTGGCATGTTTAAGGTTTGGCCCACGAAACTTACATTTTATATAGGGCAGGCAAGTTTGGTTCGTAAAATAAATAAACTTTTTTTTTCAAGTTTGTACCCAACCTACCAAAACTCGCGGATAAACAGACTGGTCCGTAGTTCTAAATAATTATTTGAAAACGTATTTAAAAAAATGTGTAAAATTATAAGGAGAAAAAATCTTTTTATTTTAAAGTTAAATTCCATCACACTAAAATTTATCAACATTTAAAATGATCTTAAACACTAAATATTAAAATGTTAAGATTAACAATATTAACAATACTTATATAATAGCTAGTATCAAACATTCAATAATAAAAATATTAAAATGTCTTAAAAATAATATAAATGACAATTATAATCAACTAAATATAGTTTTTAATGTTATAATAATTTAAAAATTTAAATACATAACCAAATATTAAAAATTCAATATCTAAAAAATTAATTAGTGAAGTCCACGAGAAAACTCATGAGTCCACAGATCAAGTTTATCAAATCCGCAAACTTCATAGACCAAACTCAAAAATTAGATATAATTATATAAATTTGAAAAAAAAAATCATTATTTGTGAAGCTTGGTAGTGGTAGCTTAATATATCGGCTCGTAAACCTAAATCCATTGACCTATCCCTAATCATCATCCTTATATCTCCTATACTCATTTCTCTAATCCATATGTGGGGTGTACCTGTCTGAGGGCACACTCCTAATCTTCTGTGGTGAAGGGCCGAACGGGAGCTTCAGGTGGATTCTTCAGAGGGGGGAGGTACCTGCAAAAGGCACTTCGATGCTCAAGTCAGGACAAGCACGATTTTCTAGGATAATAATTGAACAGTCACATACATCGTTACGTGTGATCTATTTATAATACCTGACATGGGCCTGAGCATGGTGGGCCTTCTCTAACATTTACCAAATTAGGTAATACGATGTTAATTGGCTGATTATGTCTTAATCATGTACTTGTCCTTGCTAATCGTGATCATTGTTGTAATCCTTGCTTTATCCTTCGGCTCATTATCGAGCCGACAAGTAAATGCTTGGGTTGTTGGGTGTCTTCGGCCATTGGCCGGGCTGACAGGCATTTGTTCAGTTATCCAAGCTCTATCGGCATTCGGCCGAGCCGATACGTAGCGTATGGAGACGCATCGTGGTGCTATTCTTATTGGTCATCAGCCGAGTCGAGGTTGCTAGTGAACTCTTCTCTGCCTTTGGTTGTATGCCGAGCTGATGTTAACGTCGAGGTTCGTGGGGGCGTGGTTGTTTTCAGTCCACGTGGGTGTCTAACGGAACGGCACGTGTTGGTCCACGTGACCGATAGGATCCCTCCGGTACACACGCCCCCCAGCCTTGAGGAGTGGAACGACGCGAAGGGTAAATGTGATATGTCGGTTGCGGGAATTGCTTGAAAATGTGGGGAATCGTGACCATGGGGTGTGTTTCTTGGGGATACAACTGGTGGGCATTGATGACGCATGCGAGGGGTTACAACTGTTGGTGGAATGCCAAGGGTTGTAACCATTGGGCATTGATGACGCGTACGAGAGGTTACAACTGCTCGTGGAATGCCAAGGGTTGTAACTGTTGGGCATTGATGACGCATACGAAGGGTTGCACACTGTAGACCGTTGGATCAAGTTGATCCAACGATGTTCAAGGGGGTGTGGCGTTTGAAATGATTGCAAGGGAGGCCAATAAATAGGCGTGGTGGTGGGGACCCTAATGTGTGTAACCTGTGTGTACTCCGAGCTGAGATCAATTGAGTTGCAGCGTTCGAGTAGCTTTCAACGAAGACCGATTAAGTTCTACATTTAGGTACGTAATGGCAGATGTTAATGTTGTTCATATCGGCTCCTCTGGGATACAGGTGACTCTGCCGGCGCTGGGTCAAGAGCAGCACTAGACCGACACCATGTATCGGCTTTGGCTTCCAATGGGTCAGACGATGCGGGATTCGCTTCGGGGTCAGGGCGCACAGCAAGTGAGGGTGATTCTTCATCTGTAGTAGCTTCAGATGGCCGGCCGGCTACGGCCTCTAGGCAGTTTGCACCTATCGAGACTCCTGATTATTCATGGGTGCATGGGGAGGTGGGCAGTGTTCACTCTCGGTATACCGACAAGAATTCTATTGCGCTCTTCATTTCGGCTGTGAAGTTTCTAACCTTCCCCGAAGAAGAGGAGCCTTCTCCAATTTTCTTTCAGCCGTGCCGAGGCAATGGCGGGCCGAATCCGGACTTCTTCTTCTTGGATCGAGGGAATTGTAAATATCATTTCTTTTATGTATACGACTACATGTTTCGCGATCTGAAGGTAACGCTGTCGTTTGATGAGTATTTTGCCGGTATACTATGGTTGTTAAACGTGGCTCCGACCCAACTCCATCCAAATACTTGGGCCGCGATGCAAGGGTTCAGACAGTTGTGTCTGGCTCTCGACATCAGGCCCACTCCTCACCTATTCCTATACTTTTATTCGTCTCGGCCTACCAAGAAGGTTAAGTGGTTGTCTCTGGTCCGGCATGCCGACTGTTTGCTACAGCCGTTTACCACTTCCTATAAGAAGTTCAAGGTAGGGTTCATCAAGGTAATGATTCGGCCGACTACAAGAAATAAATACTTTTTTGATGCTGAGGAGAGGCCGATGTTCCCGCTCTACTGGACCCGAAAACCGCGCAAATATGATACGGTGTCGAAGTCCCGAATGTCCCCGGAGGAGCGGTCTAGCTTGAATTTTTTGGAGAAGCTTCCTCGGCCTTTGTCGTGCCGACCGTTGGTTCGACTGTTTGAGTCGGCTAACGTGACAGAAAAGTTAATCGGTATAGTAGCTTTCTTACTTGTTTAAATTCTTACGTTATCATTGATTTTGACTAATGATGTGCAGGTATCATGGCGAGTTATGGAGACGACGATTTGGACATCCGTCATCTGATCGGAAGCCGCGTGGCTTCTGCTCCGACCACGAGGGCCCCGACAAGCGCGCGCAGGTGAGAATCAACCAGCTCCCCAAGGCGGTGGAGCAGGACCGACTGCCAAACCAAGGAAGGGAGGCAAGGGTCCAACTCGGCCCCAAAGCGAAAAAAGAAGGCCCGAAGAAGCGAGGGCCGAGGAGGAGAGCCGCCAGGCCAAACATCAACGCGTGGCCAACCCGACCGTTCCGCAAGGCTTGGTTCGATCAAGCTTCTTGGCTAGCAACGTCAACGCTCAGGATTTCCTAAGCCAGGACTTGACCTCTAAATCGGGGCAAGGGGTTCTGAGCCACATGAGCTCGGCTTAGAAATGGAGCTTCTTTTGCGAGTTCCAAGTGCGGGCGATGGCATTAGCACAAAGTATTGTGATGGAGCCGAACGGCGAGGCCAATGGGCTTCGTCGGCAATTGGCTGAGCAGGAGAAGTCTCTACAAGAGACGTTGACGGCTCTGACTGACGCCCAAACAACCAACAGCAAATATCAGGCCGAGCTGGATGCCAAGAAGCTTGCCTTCGGGGCTTATAGGGAGAAGGCACGCAATAAGGTCCTCTCTCAGCATCAGGCTGGGTTTTCCCAGGCGGCTCGGCAGGCATGCTTCTTTGGCGACTTCCCCCCTGAATTTCACCTGGATATGACAAAGGACTTCTTCTAGGGTAAGTTGGTGGACCTGACCTCCATTCCTTCGGACCAGCAAGCCGACGAGGAAGCTCTGGCGCAACCGACTGGGCCGAATGAAGAGGAGATGGCGTACGAGGAAGTTGCGCCTGAAGATGGTCCGGTTCAGGGGGAGACGGAGGTGGGGTCTTAAACTTGTTTCTTGCTTAGTTCTTTTTGTAATGATGGGCCGATAGTGCCCTTTTAATGTACTTGCTTGGGCCGATAGTGCCCTGTTAATGAATTTGAATTTTACTTGTTGTCATATATTGGTGCAACATGATATATCGCCTTTTTCGAGAAGGAAGACTTGTAAATATTAATGTACGCCGCATCCTTGGCCGAGAGAGATCTCGGGAGGGAAGACTTGTAAAAATTAATGTAAGCCGCATCCTTGGCCGAGAGAGATCTCGGGAGGGAAGACTTGTAAAAATTAACCTAAGTCGCATCCTTGGCCGAGAGAGATCTCGGGAGGGAAGACTTGTAAAAATTAATGTAGGCCGCATCCTTGGCCGAGAGGGATCTCGGAGGGAAGACTTGTAAAAATTAACGTAAGCCGCATCCTTGGCCGAGAGGGATCTCGGAGGGAAGACTTGTAAATATGAACCTGAGTCGCATCCTTGGCCGAGAGAGATCTCGGGAGGGAAGACTTGTAAGAATTAACCTCAGCCGCATCCTTGGCCGAGAGAGATCTCGGGAGGGAAGACTTGTAAAAAATAAAAACAAAAGTTGTGAGAATCTTGGGTACTTGGAATGTATTTTCATTAATGAATTGATGCCTCGTTAAAAACCTTGCCGACCAAAAACCCCTTTTCACAATTTTATAAGAGGAAAAAAGATTGGTTCAAGGAAAAGAGTGCACCATTTTACACAGACTTGAAATGTAAATACAACATGATCTTAGTTCAACTGTAGTATGTCTTCAGATGGTGGAGTTCCAAGTTCTCGGGATGACCTTGCCGAATAGTTCCTCTAACTTGTACGCTCCATTGTGGACAGCGTGCCGTACCCGGAACGGGCCGTCCCAGTTAGCCGAGAGCTTTCCTTCAGAGGAGTTGCGTCTTGCTGACCCGGTTGCTCTCTAGACTAGATCACCTTCATGAAACGTTCTTGGCTTTAAGTTGGAATTAAAGCGTCGGTTCATCCGTTGCTTACATGCTTCGGCAACAACCTGTGTCTTCTCTCGCACTTCGTCTATAACATCGAGCTTGGCTCGGAGTGAATTGTCGTTAGACTCTTCATGGAAGTGCTGCCGCCGGAATGATGGTTCCCCTACCTCGACCGGAATCATCGCATCCGCGCCATATGTTAGGCGAAAAAGCGTCTCCCTGGTGGTTGATTGTGGCGTGCATCGGTACGCCTAAAGGACTTCCAGTAATTCCTCGGCCCATGCTCCTTTTGCCGAACCTAGCCTCTTCTTCAGTTCTGTCAGTATGACCTTGTTGGCCGCTTCGGCCTGCCCGTTTGACTGAGGATGCTCAACTGACATGAACACGTGCCGAATGGCCTTCGTCCGAGACGATGGCGTATGGGATGTCGAAACGGGTAACCATGTTGTTCCAGAAAAACTTCTGGACGTTGGCGGTGGAGATGCAGGCGAGCGGTTCGACCTCTATCCACTTCGTGAAGTAATCCACCGCGACGAGGAGAAACTTGACCTGCCCCTTTGCCACAGGGAATGGTCCAAGTACGTCGATATCCCACAAAGCGAACGGCCATGGGGAGCTGATGCTGTGCAATTCGGCAGCCGAGGCGTGGATGAGGTTCACGTGCTTTTGACATTGAACGCATTTTTTGACAAACTCGGAGCAATCTCCCTTCAGAGTCGGCCAATAATAACCGGCTCGCAAGACTTTGGCCAGGTTCGCCCCCCAAAGTGAGAACCACAAATGCCATCGTGGATCTCCAACATCACATAGTCGGCTTGTAGGTCATCAATGCATTTGAGCAACGGGGTGGAGAATCCCCGCCTGTAGATCTCATCGTCTACCATGGAGTACCGAGCCGCTTGCGTTCGTATTTTCTTTGCTTCCATCAGGTCGCCCAACAGTTCACCGTTAATTATGTAGTTTCAAATGAGGGTGATCCATGAGGGTGCTTCATTTATTGCCATGCATTCGGCAGCTACACTTGGGGAGGGAATCTCAAGCTGAATGGTGGTCCGTAATTGCCCCGGCTTTCGGCTGCTGGCGAGCCGAGCTAGCTGGTCGGCTCGTTCGTTGTTACTTCATAGGACGTGCCATACCTGAACTTCACTGAAGCCGTCCTTGAGTCCCTGGAATAAGTGATAATATTGCAACAGGTTCGAGTCCTTGACCTAGAAATTATCGTTGACCTGTTCGGCCACGATCTTCGAATCGGTCCAGCATATGATCTTGTTCACTCCCATTTCGGTTGCTAATCGCATCCCGGCTATCAAGGCTTCGTATTTCGCTTGATTATTCGATGCTCGGAAGCTGAAATGAAGGGATTGCTCAACTGTGATACCTGAAGGACTAGCAAGAATTACTCCGGCTCTGCTACCTTGGGCATTGGAGGACCCATCGACGTGCATGGTCCATGGCTCTTCTTCAAAACGTCCCGGAGGAGTGAGCTTGTTGACAAAATTGGCTAAGTGTTGCGACTTGATGGGGCCTCTCAGCTCGAAAGACACGTCGAACTCCGAGAGCTCGACCGACCATGCCATCATCCGGCCGGTAATCTCTAGTTTCTGGAGGACTTTTGCAATTGGGCAATCAGTTCGGACGACTACCTTGTGACTTTGGAAATACTGCCTGAGTCGGCCGGCGGTATAGATGAGCCTTAAGGCTACTTTTTCTAACAACTGGTAGCGCCGCTCGGCATCCTGTAGCATCCGGCTGATGAAATATATAGGGTGTTGTTGTCTTGGTTCTCTTGCATCAGGACGACACTTATTGAACTGCCCGAGACGACCAAATAAACGATCATGTCGAGGTTGGAAATTGGTTTGGAAAGTATTGGAGGTGTGCTAAGACGCTTCTTGAACTATCGGAACGATTCTTCACACTCCTGAGTCCATCTGAATCGCTCCTTCTTCTTGAGTAAAAGTAGGATAGGCTGGGCTATCTCGGCAAGGCAAGGAAGGAACCGAGAGAGCGAGGTAAGCCGGCCTGCGAGCTTTTGAACTTCTTTCAAGGTACCCGAGCTTTTCATATCCAAGATGGCTTGGCATTTTTCGGGATTTGCCTCAATACCTCGATTAGATAACATGAACCCCAAAAATTTTCCCCCCGAGACCCCAAAGATGCATTTTTCGGGGTTGAGCCTCATCTGATGTTGCCGAAGCGCCTGGAATACCTCGGCCAAGTCACGCACATGCGCGGAGACGTCGCTCGACTTTACGACCATGTCGTCGACATATACTTCCATGCTTTGACCAATTTGGTCATGAAAAATCTTATTCATCAAATGCTGATAAGTGGCTCCGACGTTCTTCAACCCGAACGGCATCACCCGGTAGCAGTAGTTGGTCGTTTCGGTAATGAATGTCGTCTTCTCTTCGTCTTGGGTGTGCATACGGATCTGGTTGTACCCCGAGTATGCATCGAGGAAGGACAAGAATTTGTGACCGGATGCTCCCTCAACGAGTCGGTCAATATTCGGTAATGGGTAGGCGTCTTTCAGGCAGGCTTTGTTCAAGTTTGTGTAATCGATAGACATACGCCACTTCCCATTCGGCTTTCGGACCATGACAACATTGGCCATCCATGTTGTATACTGTACTTCTCGGATGAACCGAGCATCTAGCAACTTGGATACTTCCACTTCGATCGCTGCTTTCCTCTCTTCCCCGACCTTCCGACACCGTTGGGAAATCGGCTTTGCCTCCTTACTGATTGAGAGCTTGTGGCAAAGGAAATCTGGGTTGATGCCAGGCATGTCGGAGGGATTCCATGCAAACAAATCACTGTTGTCAAGAACTACTTGTTCGATAGCTGACTTTTCTTGTTCGGAGAGGACGGTCCCCAGGTAAGTGAGCTGGGAGTCCAAGACTCCGACTTGGAGAGGCTGCTTGTCTTAGATGGGTTCAACTCTCTCGTCCTGATCGATCTGGGGGTCAAGGTCTATGGCCGATTGCTGTGACACCGAGTGGATGCGTCTCGGCTCTTTAGGGATTTCTCTGTTCGTCGTTGGTAACCGCAAGCTAGCAAAGTAGCACTCGCGTGCGGTTTTTTGAATGGCATGGACAGTGATTATTCGTCCTGAGTTGGCTAGGAACTTCATAGCTAAGTGTGGAGTGGAGATGATTGCACCGAGCCAATTCAAGGATGGCCTACCGAGCAAAATGTTGTAGGACGTGTTGGCGTGAACCACCACATACTTAACCGACATGTCTCGGTATTCGGCTCCTTCAAACCCAAACCGGGTCGACAGCTTGATATAACCCTTCGTCTTAACTCTCTCGCCCGAGAATCCCACCAAAGGCTCATCGTAGGGAACTAGTTCAGTTTTGGGGATGCCTAACTGTTTGAACGTGTTCCAATAGAGGATGTCGGCAGAACTCCCCTGGTCGACCAAAGTCTTGCGTACTATACAATTGTGATTTCCACGCTAATTACCATCAGATCGTCTTGGTCCGGGTCGATGCCTTTGAAATCGGCCTCAGTGAAGGTTATACTTGGTAAACGGCGATGGACTTTTTCTACTGCGTGTACATGCCGAACAGCACGCAAGTGCCTCTGTTGTGCCGACGAGGAGGAGCCATCGCCAACGAATCCACCAGCTATGGTGTTGATGACTTGCCGAGGTTGTGTAGAAGGTTCCTCCGCTCTTCGATCCCTGGACCGATTGCGTTCGCTGTATGAGCGTGATTCTGTTCTTTGTTTAGGTTGATCATGTCGGCGGGACTGATCGGTGTATCGGGATGAGCTCTGTCGGTTCACAAAACCTTGCAGTTGCCCCTGCTTGATTAAATCCTCGATCTTATCCTTCAGAGCCGAGCATTCCTCTGTTGAATGTCTTCAATTGCGATGGTACCTGCAGGATTTGGTGGTATCGGCCCTGGGAGGGGTCGAGGCTCTTTTCGGGATGGCTAATACCTCTGAGGCAAGCGCTTGCTCTAGTATGGTCGATCTACTAGTATTAAGCGGCGTGTACTGCGAGTACCTCGGCCCGCGAGGGGGCTTCTCGCGGGGGACCAGTTCTTTCGGACGACTCCGAAAACTACTCTCAGCCGGCTTTTTAGATTTAGCCATCACCCCCGCCCTAGCCTGGTTACGGAACTTAGCTAATTCCTCCATTTGCATGTACTTGTCGGCTCGTCGACGCAAATCATCCATGTCAGTGGGTGGTTTCTTACAAATGCTATTGGCAAAGGGCCCTGGCTTCAAGGCAGTGGTGAGATGGTGTAAGGTTATAGCAGGATTCAAGTCCCGAATTTCAAGCGCCGCCTTGTTGAACCGGCTCATAAACGTCCGAAGGGATTCCTTTTTCTCCTGACGGATGCTGATTAATGCCAAAGAAGTCAACTGGTGGGGTCGGCTCGTAGCAAATTGGATAGTGAACTGGGAGGCTAACGTGTTGAACGAGTCGATCAAGTTAGCAGGGAGTTGAGTTAACCAGCTCAGCGCACGTCCTTTTAGCGATGTCGGGAAGATTCGGCAGAGTGCCGCATCATCTGTGGTGTTGAGAGTGACTTGGGTTAGGAACACGTCCACGTGCTCATTTGGATCGGTCGTTCCATCATACTTGTCCAACGGCAGATATTTCCAATGGTCAAGGAGTGAGGACTGCATAATGTTTGGGGTGAACGGGTGTCGATGGGTGCAGCCAGGATGGGATGAACGGGTCGGCCGGGTGACTGCACTAAAGTGCGATTGCCTGGGGCAACAACAGAAGTGTGCGGGATAGAGGTGTGATGGCCGAGTGAGTGAAACGACCCCTGAGTGTGGGTCATCTCAGAGGGTTTCCACGTGGGATCACGGTACTAGTTTTTAAGGGAAGCATTCTCTTCTTGCAACGCAGCCATTTCGCGAGCATCTTTCTCCCGTTGCTGCTTCATGGCCGCCATTTGTTCTTTCATTTGGCGTACCATCTCGGTCAGGTTTGTCTCGTCTACTGTCTCGGCATTGTCCGCCCCAGCCTGGTGCTCATCTTCGGACTGGTGGTCTTCAATGTTAGTTCTCCTTGTCTTTGCCATTCATAGTGCTCAGTTTGTCTTCGAAAAGCTATCGGTTCGGCCCCACGGTGGGCGCCAAAATGTACCTGTCTGAGGGCACACTCGTAATCTTCTATGGTGAAGGGCCGAACAGGAGCTTCAGGTGGATTCTTCAGAGGGGGGAGGTACCTGCAAAAGGCACTCCGATGTTCAAGTCAGGACAAGCACGATTTTCTATTTATAATACCTGACATGGGCCTAAGCATGGTGGGCCTTCTCTAACATTTACCAAATTAGGTAATACAATGTTAATCAGCTGATTATGTCTTAATCATGTACTTGTCCTTGCTAATCGTGATCATTGTCGTAATCCTTGCTTTATCCTTCGGCTTATTACCGAGCCGACAGGTAAATGCTTGGGTTGCTGGGTGTCTTTGACCGTTGGCCGAGCCGACAGGAATTTGTTCGGTTATCCAAGCTCTATCGGCATTTGGCCGAGCCAATACATAGCGTATGGAGACGCATCGTGGTGCTATTCTTATCGGTCATCAGCCGAGCCGAGGTTGCTAGCGAACTCTTCTCTGCCTTCGGTTGTATGCTGAGCCGATGTTAACGTCGAGGTTCGTGGGGGCGTGGTTGTTTTCAGTCCGCGTGGGTGTCTAACGGAACAACATGTGTTGGTCCACATGACCGATAGGATCCCTCCGGTACATGGGGTGAATATAATAAAGGAGAAAGAGAGAGATGTCGCTATGAGATGGCCATGGTTCGCATAACCTTCTTTTTTGTTCTTTGATTTTGCATCTTTACATAAGAGGCAAGTTTTATCTTCTTTTTGCATTTTTGATCTTGTTCTTCATTCTTGTGTTTTCATTCTATTTGTTCTCTCTCATCTTTGCACAACTCCATCTTTGTTCAATTTCTTGCATAAGAGGTAAATTTCTCTTTTCTTTTTTCCATTAATTCCCTTTTTTCTCATTATATTATTTTTGTAATCTCTTAGATTTTGATACTACTTTGAATTCTATCTTCACTAATTCACTTTAGGTTTCTCATTATGTATTGCATTACAACTTTGTTTTTATATTTGTAGAGGAAGAGCTTTAGAGAGACAAGTTCCATTTTGTGCTATAATTTATATCAAAATGCTCCTCTATATGAATGAGTATATTATATATATATATATATATATATTAATTTGTAT